TAATCCAACTGCACGATTTGTTGAGTGTGTAGTGTTGAGTTTCAAGGTTCTCTCCTTCCTCATTTTTTGGATTGATCTTAAGGTAAAGGAAGCTAGATCTATTGATTTTGATTGAGTAGATGGGTTGTGTAGTGATGCATAGGTTTTATGCTGTATGAATTCCATTGAGATTCATGGTTGAGTTGGTCAAACCGAAATGGGTTGCAAATGAGAATTAAGGTTTGAGTCCATAAAGAGGAAATTGATTATTTGTAGTGAATTATGTGTTGTATATGAGTTGTATATAACATATATGTATATATTATATTATTGTGTTGCATGTGTGGTTTGGGTTGAGTTTCATGTGGATTTAACATAATTCATGATCGATATAAATGCAGTTTGCTCGTCATGTAGGGTGAGCATTCAAAGCATCAAACGTCGTTTTAACATGTGGTTTTTTGTCTTATTACGTCGGACACAAGATTGGTGACACTGAACATAAAGAGAGAGACTAGTCTCAGGTTAAAATGGTGTTAGAGCATGAAAGCACGAGGAAGTCTCTAACTTGGTGACGTTAGGCACTAGGTTGAGTGGAGCCCAACATGATTTAGTTAACACTCTCTACTTTGACAACGCCGAACATGAGTATGGTGACATTAGATGTGTGTTAAGCAGAGACTTCCTACCTATAATGAGGTTGGGCGTGATGTCCTAGGGATCTCTACCTTATCCACGTCGAACACGAGTTATGTAATGTTAGGCATGGGCAAGGTAGAGGGTTCTTTGTCTAAATGATATCGAGCGTTGGTAGTATGGCATCAGGCATTCTTTTAATGAATTTGTATTATCGGGCTGATGTACTTTTGAATATGAAAATAATATGTATAAGTGTTGTTTGTTTGAGCTGTTAAATGTTGTTCATTATATATATGAAGATATTTTGAGGTGAATGATGATTGAGAGCTGAAATGTGAGTTGTAGAGTTATGTGTTGGTTGTGTAGCTGTGTTGAATATGCATGATGTTGTGTTACTAAGATGATGAATGTTGATAGTGCTTTAGGAATTTTGACATGATGTTGTTGAACTCTGTTAACTGACTTAGAAATAAAGAAGAAGTTGTTTTTAAAGTTGCATATCTTATCGTGTGGATATTGTGTTGTTATACTATGAGAGTGCAACTCTGTTGAAAATCCCTATTGGGAAGTTGACTCTTGAATAAGATAATTGAGACTCCTCTAGAACCCGTGTGTGGGCAAGGTCGAGACACGTGTGTATAAAACAAGCAATTAAGTAAAGTATGAAGCCAAAAACTTAGTTCCTAACTGAGTATCAGAAGGGTATGATATTTGGAGGGTAGTCGGTGGACTAATCCCATAAGAGACTTAATTAAGTTAGCTAGTGTTGTGGTAGGTTCATACTTAGCTATTATACCCTAACAATAGCTGTTATTATACCGCTCAATAACTTTATATTAAATGTGAATTTTATAAAACTAACCGTTAGATTGAAAGTTTATATCACTTTATATGTTTATATCAAATTTTGTTAAAATTGAACAACAACTTGAAGATAATCAAAGTGTTCATATTTTAGTATATTACATCAATTTTATTTTATAAAAACGAAGTATCAAATCATCTTGGATTAATATAAAATTTTGTATATATGATCTAAGAGATATAAACTTTCAATCTAACGGTTAAATTTATAAAATTCACAATTAATATAAAGTTATTAAGTAGTGTAATACTTAGTAAAAGTTACACCGGTGTAATTATAACCCCTTATATATATATTATGACATAACTTTCATTTATATGTTAAAGAAACTTGTTAATCTAGTGGTTAAGTGTTATTGTTGAAGGCAAAAATTATGAATTTTAATCTCATCACTTTAAACATTTTAATAGCTATTTCTCATGACCAGTACCAAAATATAAATAAAAATATTAAAATAATTTTTTTTACATGACACATCATTACATCATGTTATCATCCTATTAACATTTGTATCATTTGTCACATCATTTATCATGTCACCTCGTTAAAGTCACGACAACAACAATAATTATATTTTTTTAACAAAAACAATTTAAAATTATATAATTACAATACTTGAGATATTAAAATCACTTAATTAAAATTAAAGAGACTAAAGTCACACAATTATCATACCTAAGGGACCAAAATGTATTTAAGTTTTCATATTAGTGGTAGTGATAACATCACCATTACCATCAGTGTCACTGTTGACACTATTATTATCAATCGAGAACTGATATGGTACCCATGATAATTGAAGGGTTTTGGTACCTTAAATTATGTGAACAAATAAATTTTTAAAAATAAATTCAAAATAACAAATTTTAATTCAAAATAACATAAATTTTAGATAAAAAATTTGTAAAAGATGAATCAATCAAAAAGACTAATTAAAAAAAAATAATTAAAAGGTCAATTTTCATAACAAATTTTATTTATATGTGACAGAATTAAAAAATTTAAAACAAAAAGTAATAATACTATAAAAATATTAAAATAAGAAAGAAAAATAATAAATAATACAACTGAAAAACTAATTTATACTATAAATTCAAAAAATTAATACCAAAGAAAAATTAAAACGTATTAACAAAATATTAATATTAAACTATTTAATTATAATAGATGCTACATTAAGATAAAAATTAAAAAATATAAAAATTTAAATTTTTTTTATAAAGATAAATTATTAAAAATACTAAATTAAAATATATAAAAAATTACAATAAAAAAAAGCGACTGTTCCAGTACCCTACAATTATAGTGGGTATTGTAGAATTTTCCTTATCAATATCACCTTTGTTAATAGTAATAACAATAACGATGACAATAATAATGATGGTGAAAATAATTAAAATAATGATGTTACATGAGTTTTATTTGTACTCTTTTAGTATAAATTGAGCACACACATAATAAACAATGCTTCTATTTATAGTCTTTTAATATAAATTGATCACATATACAATACGTGACATTTTTATTTGTACTCTTTTAATATAAATTGACTAACCACACACCCAATAAAATAAAATTTTATTTATTATAAACTTGTTTCAGGTTTTTCAAATAAGTTTTTTTATTTATTATAGACTTGTTTAGGTTAAGAAATTTTAAATTGTATAAATGATTATAATTTTTTAATTTTTTTTTATTAAAAACAAAAAAATGTGTTAAGTTTATATAATTATTTTAAAAAATGAATTATATACTAACAATTTTTTTTATACAATCACTCAATCAAAATGCGCTATGTATAATAAATTTTTTAACTTTATAAAAGTTACTTTAAAAGTAATACATTATGTGATTTTTGTAAAATAATTTCATATTATAGTGTTTAATGAATAAAATTAAAAGTAATATTTTTTATTTTTACAAAATAATAATATGTTTACAACTAATTATATAACTTTAAAACTACACTAAATTATTTTTCGTAAATTAAGTTTGATCTATATATATATATTTTATTTGAAGTTGAAATATATATCTTATTAATAAAAAAATATATCTTATTCAAATAAACATATAAAAAGATCTTGAATTTGTTTTCACTATATATTCCAATTTTTTTTTTATAGAGTAACATATATAATAAATAAAATAAAATTAAATAAATCATCACATTTTATATAAAAATAATGAGTTAAACTTAAATTTTTATGTTTTTAACTATTCCAACTCTTTTTCACGCAACCAAAGACTAACCTAATGATTATATTTTATCTTAACTTAATACAATATCATAAAATATTCATATAAAATATTTCCTTATTTTTAATAATATAAATGATAATATATATTATCATTATATATATATATAAT